CTCATCCATAGCTAAATTAAAACCTAGGGCTTTGAGGTAAAATCAAGAGCAGCAGAAGCAGAAGGTATATGCAAAAAGAGACCAATATAGAAGGCTTATATGTAAAGAAAGATTGGTCTCTGGATAGAGCCTGTCCTGCAGTCTCCACAGGAGGCAAGAATTACAGAATTTTCAGCGCTTCTATATGGGGATGTGCATATTAGTGTTGCTTGGGGGAGCACTCTGTATTTAGGTCCCTGTTGCTTCATGTCTACACCTGTATCATCATCTTAACTGACTCTTCAGAATTAGCTTTTCATTTCAGAAAACTTTCTTTTCTGAAACTTTGCTCCAAACATTTTTTTTATTTGTTCCAGTTAAGTGAAAGAAACTAAAAGCTTTTTTAAGCTTTTGCTTTTCTACGTTCCAGAACTGTTCTTCCTATGCTGTAAATTGTCACACTAATAATCAGTGCAGCATATAAGCCCATAAAGATAGTATCATCTGCAGGTTTTTATTGTATCCCAATGTATAAATTATTCTTGGAAAGATGGGAGTGGAAATGACAACCTACTTCTTCCGAGGATTCCACAGGCAAATTAGTTGCTCTCTTCTCCCTCTCTAAAATGCAGAACGCTGTTACCACCATCCTGTTAGTGCAATATCAACATTGTGTTATCGAGTCAGAAAGTGTGGTGTACTAGCTTCTGCCTGAACACACATGGGCATTTTACAGGTAACGATGGCTTGGATGTTTAGGTCTATCTTGAAGCCTAACTTCCCTTTTATGATACCTTGGAACTGTCTGTATTTACCAGCAAGATGCAATCTGCTTGGAGACATCTAGAGATTCAGACACACTAAACTTTATTCCAGCTGGAGAAACACTGCTGTTATTGAATGCATTTAGTATTTATATAACAGCAGTATCTAGATGCCCCAGTTAGCGCAACAGTGAGTTACTTAATGTGCAGTTCTCTGTTGGGACTACTTTATTTTCTTAGCAATTCCTCCTCCTTTTTACAAAATAAAAGTTCCTCGCTGGTCAGCCTCCTCATTTCTCTCACTCCAACAAGCAGTGGGAGGAAATTGCTTGCTCTGCCTATATGGTTTTTCCCATGCATCTGCTTCTTTTCACAATTTCCTGCATCCTGAAATAGCATAGAGACATCCCACCTTATCTTTGATAAGTGATGGTAAAACTAGAGAAGGTCTTCAGACAGGATAAAGCAAAATCCCTACCAGGTACATCAGGCCCACCTTCCCACCAGTTCTGCGGGGCTTCCATGCTCTCCATGCCCAAGTTCAAGCCAAAGGACAGCTAGTCATTCACCACACAGAAGACAGAAAGTAGGAGGAGAGATTGAAGGAGGAATTACTGGCAAAGACAGATCACAAGAACGAATTTCAGCACACTCCACTTGCTGCTACTGCAGCTTCCATTTGCTAGCTCCTTCTTCATATGTTTACAGGGAAAAATAACTCCTTTGTGAACTTGTGCCTCAAAAAAGGGAATAATGGTTATGAGAGCAATGAATATTGAGAATTAAATGTGGGGAAGAATGCTCTTTGATGGTTAGATGGCCATTAGTGTATTAATGATGTCTATTGGCAAAAAAAGCATGCTCAAAGGTAAACAGCTAAGGGTGAGGGCTTAGTCATGCCACTAATTCAGAACAGAACAAGCCATTTAGATAATTACAAAACAAAACAAAACAAAAAACCCGGGCACAAGTGGCAAGTTACCCAGCACTCACTGCAGAGAGCAACAGGCACATCTGCACAGTAATACAGCAGTTCACCCTGAATCTGCTTTTCATTATCCTGCTAAACCACACAAAATATCTGACACCTGCACGTCTCAGTGGGGATGGCCTAAACTTCAGAGTCTCTGGGGTTCAAGCCCCATTTTGTGACACCAAAGACTGGGAACCAGTACATGCTGGGGGCTGATCAGTTCGAAAGCAGCTTTGCAGAAGAAGACTTGAGGGTCCTGGTGGACGCCAAGTTGAACATGAGCCAGCAATGTGGCCTTGCTGCAAAGAAAGCAAGTGGTATCCTGGGCTGCATGAGGCAAAGTATTGCCAGCAGGTATGGGGAGGTGATCCTTCCCCTCTGCTCAGCACTGGTGGGACCACACCTGGGGCACTGTGTCCAGTTCTGGGCACCCCAGTACAAGAGAGACATGGACAGACTGGGGAGAGTACAGCAAAGAGCTACCAAGACAATGAAGGGACTGGAGCACCTTTCCTATGAGGAAAGGCTGAGAGAGCTGGGACTGTTCCTCTCAGAGAAGGTTCAGGGGGAACCTTATCAACGTATATAAATACCTGAAGGGAGGGTGCAAAGAGGATGGAGCCAGGCTCTTTTCAGTGGTGCCCAGTGACAGGACCAGAGGCAATGGCCACAAACTGAAACACAGGAGGCTCCTTCTGAACATCAGGAAACACTTTTTCACTGTGAGGGTGACTGAGCACTGGAAGAGGTTGCCCAGAAAGGTGGTGGAGTCTCCATCTTTTGGAATATTCAAAAGCCGTCTGGGCATTGTCCTGGAAATTGGCATTAGATGCCCCTGCTTGAGCAGGGGGGTTGGACCAGATACCTCCAGAGGTCTCTTCTGTGATTTGGTGACTTCCCGCCAGTCCTTCAGTTCCTTGTCATCAGCTGTTAAAACTGGAAAAGAGCTAAATTCCAGTCCATCCAGTAACAGTGCCATAATTAGAAATAAATAAGAGCCAAGAAATTATCATACACGTTAACCCTACTGCTACAGAGAGTGAAAAATCACTGACTTAAGACTAGGGATGGATATAGAAGGGACCAGTCACAAGACTGTACCAAGGCTATATGCACAAATGACCAGTTACTGCTACAGAAACTTTACTAACAACCTAATGAGGGTTGTTTGCTCTGTAGCTCAGAGATGGAGCTGTCTTTAAAGTGTATGCAAACCTGAAGCAAACCCCTCAAAAAAGTATTTGCACTGATGCAATACTTGTATGCAGAATTGATCGCCTGCACCCTGCACTGTATTGCCTTACTGTCACTAAATGGAATTGTATGTGATCTCAGGCTTTGATGGCTCTGGTTACTCATCTTTGAGGGCTGGCCATCAAATCTAGATGTAATACAACAGCAGTAGAAGTGCCAATGTTCAAGCAGCAGTCACTGTTCTACAACTCTTCCCGCAGGAGAGAGCTCACCAGTCAGACCACACAGACTTAGAAGACACAAATATATACCAAAACATGAAACCCTGCATCACCATTTAGCTTGTAAATGGCATGAGATGAGAATCAGCCTGTGTAACTAATCTACCTTTCCCAGGAGAGAGACAAAAGGGATGCTTTCCACTTGAAATCTAATAATTTTCTGAGAAGTTGTTTGCTATCATAGCAAATACTCTGCTACATGCATTCACATCACAAGAATTAAACAATGTTCCTGTTGATCTGTACAAAAGAAGTGACCTTCCAGAGTGCAAAACACAAGGACGTGTTGCTCAAGCTGCTTCTAGAAGAGGAAGAAAGGAGAAATATGATAGATTAGACAAGAAAGAGTTCAAGGTTATCAAAAAACAAATATTAAAAATTATTGTTCAAACTATTATCAGACAGAAAAAATACAGAGCTTCTTTTTGCACTTATAAAAAATAAAGCACATTTTACATATGCAGACCATAAGGCAATCAAACAGGTTTAAAAGTGCCAATCATCAAAAGAGAGACATACCTTCTCTGCTACAAACCTTCCCCCAACTCTATATTGAGTCAGTGCTTTAATACCACTTTTTCATCTAAAATAAGCAAGAACTTGACAAATGGTGGTGCATTGGTGGAATAAGTCACTGTGCAGAAATTACTATCTTTTAAGTGTCTGCTTTTGTTAATCAGATGGGAAATAAAAAGGTGGAAGGACGAGAGACTGGAAAAATCAAGGACTGTCTTCTTTCTAGCACAACATCAAATCACCATTTCTAGTGTCTACTGAATTGAGAACGCACATCAAAAGGTTCAAAGTATAATTAGCCTGTGAGAGCAGAGGAAAATATCGTTTTCCAGTTGTACGGTTTCACAATTAACTACTAAAATGCTTTCTATTCAGATTGGCCACATACTCCAAGCCAACAGTTTCTATTAAGATCATTTACAACTTGGGGACTATCATACGTAACTGTTTTCCCTCCTGAAATATGTATTAGAAGTTAGCTAAAACTAAGAACTAAGTGGGGGTGAGAAGAGGGAGGAAAAGAAACAAGTAATACTTCCACAAAGAAATCTAGTCAGTACATAGGAGAATAAAAACATGTGATAGTGGAAAACTACAGACAGGATTGCCTTGAGAGTAATCACAGTAAGCAAGTTAAATGCCATTGCTTCAGCTGTTAAAGCAGTCACGCAGGGAAGACTCTTTTTTTTTTCTCTCCAAATTACGGCACATTCATATCTCCAACAAGACAATTCTCAAGTAGAAGAAATTGAGGGGCCACATATTCTACTGCTTTCCTCCAGTGCCACATCATTGCTGGTTCATCTAGAGAAAGATCACTAACTCTCCAAGTGCAGGCTGGTTTGGGTGGGAAGAGACCTTAAAGATCATCTAGTCCCACCTCCTGCCCCGGGCAGGGACACCTTCCACTAGCCCAGGTTGCCCAAAGCCCCGTCCAACCTGGCCTTGAACCCTTCCAGGGAGGGGGCAGCCACAGCTTCTCTGGGCAACCTGTGCGTCTCATCACCCCCATCGTAAAAAAAATTTCTTCCTTTTTATCCAGTCTGCATCTACCCTCTTTCAGTTTAAAACCATTACTCCTTGTCCTATCAAACAGCTCCCTAAAGCAAATAACCACTCTGCCAAAACTAACCAACTACACGTAGCTCCCATCTCCGGAGAAGAAGTGAGAGAAGTCTACGTACAACTTGTTGAGAGTGTCTGGATGGGAAGCATGGATGTGTCTCACACAGAAACAATGAGAGTTATATCCAGCTGTAAACAGCGCACCGATAAATAACCACGCTCTCCATATTTTCTTTTTTGATATTTTTATTAATCAAAGACTTCCATATTTTGAGTGATGAGAGAGATCCCAGGATGCTTTCATAGCTAAGGTAAGCTTAACCAAAAGATACACTGCAGAATACATCATGGATATAGATAACCTTGTTAATGACTGGGTGAACTGGTGTTACTGTCACTGGTCACAGGCGAGGGTCCTCAGAAAGAGAATGTGCTGTTGGCAATGGACCACAACTCTTGCAGGGACATGCCAAGAGCTCCAAGAGAGAAAAAGGAGAATTTGACATTGTACCTGACTGAGAGGGTCCCTAAGTACCAGAGAAGAACCAAAGGTCTGTCTGCACCGCTGAGGCAGAGCAGTGTACAGACTGTTTCAGCTCCAGCCCTCTTACACATACAAACAGAGCATTTTTTTATTCATGCTATATAAATACACGCGTATTTTGTATTGGCATTTATAGAGTTGCATAAAAGTCAAAATACAAAGTTCTGCAAGGTTTTGTTTAATACTCTTAGTTGGAAGCTTGAAGGGTTAAGTTTACATGTCACTGTTTTCAATAAAACCCAAAAGCTAACTATGTGGGAGTGTGCCATTTCAATTCCTTAGCGTTTTATAAACAATTTTCAGTATGCCAATACTCAGTGCAAAGCACATGCTTAGTTAAAATCCTAGACATGGATAAAGTATAAGAGAAAAAATAAAAAGCTAGCACATATTGTCTGCATGCTCACAGAAATATAAAAAGAGGGAAAAGTGTTTCTCACTTACAGCATTATTTTGATTTTGGCGTAAGAAATGTAGATGCTTTCTCCCAAAATAACGGTACTTACAAGGTTATATCATTGGCTTGTAAAAAGAAAGAAAAATATGTTACAGTGATGGGAACAAAGAGTCTACATCAGTTGAAACTAACTATTTCCGTACCCATCAAGAAGACTGCAGCAAGTTTATATTTATGATCCAACACTGCTTGTGTTGACAGCAAATCAACTGCTTGGTGTATGACAGGGGAGCATCCAAAAAAAACCCCAAACCCAAAAAAAAAACCCCCAGAAAAATCCCTATGAAAAATAATGACAATTTATGGAACGGTAAGAAATTATAGCTTTCCAGAATAAAACCTACAGTATTTCTTCCCTTTCATGTGACCCACTGAAGTTTGCCCAGGTTCTCCACAAGGTAACAAGTTATTTTCCCCATGAATAGGGCAGGCCAAAATACCCCAATTCCCAATAATTGGTAACAATATACGTGTCCCTCCCATGAATGGAGACAGTGATTTAACAGATGGAACCTTAGGAAACAAAATTAAAAGGTAATGTTTCTGCTCACAGTTAGGAACTGAAATGCGAGAAGCACAATTCAGAAAAGAGTTAATGGTAATTTCAGCTTGGAAGTACGGCATACAAATCAGGATTTTTACAGAAGCATCCATAACATGGTCATTACAGAGGCAATACTGAAGGCTGCTTTGTTAACCCCAGTAATTGCGCTCTCATTGCACAAGTCGTGTTGGCAGCAAAAGAATTCAAAATTATCCAACTGGAAGAACTCAGCAATATCATTCATACTGCACTGGGATGTCTTCCAGCAGGACGAAGTTCTCAATTTACCTACCAAAAAAAGGTAAAATAAACAGATTAAGAGACTATTGAAAGTGAAACCATTTTTTGCATAGAGAGAGAATCACTGCCTAGACTGCCGTGTACTTGATTTTTTAGCTTCCTTTCAAGGGTTTAGAAGTTCCCAAATTTGCCCTCACTATGAATTTAGTAGCGTGAATAGCGATAGCAAGCCGTGGTTCTGCCTCCACAGCACTCTCTTGTAGCTCTTAGCCATACGATAAGAAAGATTTCTAGGTCAAGCTAACCAGTGCCTCCAATTCAGTCCAAATAACCCACTGGGGGCTACAGGGTGGAGCCTGAGCGATACCTACTCTGGGGCTCCTGACAGAGAAGGACAGTGCATCACCATCTAGCTCATCCCAACAGATTGAGTCCTCCCCTTCTCTCACTCATTCCCCTGGACACTGGAGATCAAACACCTTGTCTTCCATCTTCCCTAGCTTGACACCTCAAATACTTGACTCCTGACTCTGACAATGGGCAACCGCTGTAGCCTGAATGCTGGAAAGCTACAGTTTGTGCTTATGAAGGTAAAGGCTTAAGGGAAACAGCAAAAGGATGCAAGCAGCAGAGCAGCATCCTGCTCCAGCAGCATTAGAAGCTTCCTTCCTCCACACCAAGTCAGGTCCCCTTCAGCAGGGACCATGCAGGGAACAGAGCGGTCCCACGCCACCCTGGTTCCCGCTGTCCGAAGCCAGCCCAGCAGAGTTTCTAGAGCAGAAGGAACCCGGGAGGAAAGCTTATGTTTTTCCAGTGAAACTCCTGTCACTGGTAGTAAACAAGATACTTAAATGTTATCTAACAACTAGAATAGTAACCTTATGCCCTGAATATACATACTTGACCATCTCCCTGAGATGCAGGTCACTCCACCCTCAAGAAAAGGTAATTTATTTTAATAGTGTCAATTCATAAATGACTGAGTTTTCATCTGCAGGTTTATTTTATGGGTTATACATGCTTTATCTGGTTTTGAAATACAAAACCTTTGCCCTGAATTTGTTACTTTAAAGTCAATGCTGTCTCCTGTTATCTTCTAGCAATCTTGGGTAGGGGTTTTTTGTCTTTGTTTTGGTTTTTTTTTAAATCTGGATGTACAGATATCTATGTATATGCTTGTACAAGTATAAATCAACTATCTAAATCATTCTTATCAGTTGCTCGGATATAAGCATGACCTTCACAAGTATTCACAGCCTTCTTTTGAGGCTAAAAAATGCATGCTAAGGCCAGATTAGAAGTGTACAGGCAATTGAAAACTGATACAACCACATTTATTTTAGGTCTGCAGGACAGTATACATACCAAATTTCATCTGCAAGCAAGTATCCTCAGTTGCTAGGCAAGTACTATTGGTCTTGCACAAGGAAGGGCTGTTCTCGCAGTGGTAACACCTTAGGGTATAACCTAAAACGACAAGGGTTTATCTTTACTGAATAATAAAGTACTGAAAGAGAATCAGCATTAAAAAGGACAAAAGAGGAATCACTATCTGCATCTGTCACTAAAGATATGCCTGGTTATTAAACTCAAGACTTAAGCTAAATTTTACAAGCTTTTGTCAGTGTACAAAGTGAGACTGGCAATTTTGAAAGGAAGATTTTGAAGCATGTACTTACATAACTTGTAAAAACACTTGCCTTTAGGTGCCTGCAGAACAATATATTAAAGGCTTGCTTCTTTTATCTACTCTTAAAGACTGCCTTTTCCAAAAGGACAGACAAGAAGGGACACTTACAGCAGAATTTTATTCTATTCCTTTTTTATTTCACCTCATTCCTCTTTCATGCTATACACCTAGTTTCCAATCTACACAACAGGAATCCAATCTCCTAGCAGCAAAACACAAGTCTGTTGCCATATAAAGCAGCATCATATTCTGCACTTTATTATCTCTTCTGGCCAAAGACAATCAGCAACAGAAATGAAGCCCTACTTCTCTGATCACTGTTATTCCCCAAACTGCTGTTAAATAATCCAAGCCTTTATTGTTCCTTTTCCTTCTCCAACAAGTTTTCTGATTTCCTCAGCCCGTGTCATAACATTACATCAGAAAGGTACCTCCCTTATACTTACCAGAACCACAAAAAGCAAGCAGAACAATGCAGGCGGTTAACAGGATGCAGTTCATCTTGATCATGCTTTTTCCCTAATTTGAAGGCATAAACAGAAGTTACATCTTTATTCTATGTAAAAGCTACATGAAACTAGCAAAATACACAGTGAGGAATCGAGGTTTCAGGACTTGATTCAGTGTGGAACTAAAGGCATTGGCCAGGAAAACCAGTGAAAGAGAGAAAAGTAATTTTGCACTTTCTGAGAGAGTATTTTTATTCTGAGAACAGGTTTTTTTATTCTGAGAACTGAGATTTGAGCCCCAGCAGGCTGTAGATGGGTCTCCTTTCTCGCCTCTGATTACACCATTCAACAGGTCTCCCTGTTTCTTACAGCTACAAATGCACCTAACAAAAAGAGAGGCCACTTAGGTCTCGAAAGGTTTTTCTTTCACAGCAATTCCCCAATAACCCTGGAGCCAGACTGTGCCCCTTTCTTCTCTCTGATGGGGTTGCAAGAGATTAGCCTGCGCTAAGGGGGCTTTTGCCTCTCCTCTCCCCAAATTTCTCCCTCTCACCGAGGGACCAACACATGCAAGAACCCACCGAGTGACCACGGCCATGGCTCAAGCTCTCCACAGCTGCTCTAATCCAGAGGTAGCAGTGAGATAGGAAGGTCAGGATTTTTTTTAACAGAGGCAACTCCAAAGCAGGAGTTATCAGATAGACTTCTGCACACAGAGTCTGAACTACAAACAGTAATAACTACTACTAAAAAAATCTCTGCTATTGCAGAGTAGGCTACTCAGACCAGGTATCAATACAGAGGGGAGAGAGGGACCACACTTGTGCTAAGAGGGCATGATTTCATGTTTGTCTTCCAAGCTCAAGTGGCCTTGGAAGTCCTAAAGAATTAAAGGCATTCACACAACAAGTTTTACTTATGATAAGACTGCAGTGAAATGGTCACATTGCTACTCTTGACCCTGTTAACACTGCTTGAAGCTATTTCTATATGCATCTAAGAGTCTAGTGTGGCAGACCATAGTCATGTTGGGATGGAGTTTTCTCCTCCCAGAAGACTGACTGTGGACTTGAAAAGATAGTTCATAATAAAACAGTACCAAAATCCTTCTCAAGCTTAAGCCTAGCTAATTTTTCTGCTGAAAAATAAACCCCTCAACAAAAAACCCCACCTTTTTTCTTTTTTCTTTTTTCTTTTTTTTTCCCTGTATTTCCTGACTTACTGTTGAACAGGAAAAATAAAAAAAACCAAACCATAATGTGCAGGACAAGATGATTTTTCCAGAGTAAACAACTTTTTGAGAAGCCTTCCAAGACCAGAGGCACATTCCACAGCAACATGAAATCTGCAGGAGCGCTGTTAGTCTGGTGGTTAAAGCAAGAACCACTGTTGACAGCAACAAGAATCTCCCTGGGAACCTCTCCATGTTCCAGGGAGCCCTCCACTACCCAGTGGGGTCAGCGCAGTAGAACAGTTTTGCCTTTTAGCAAAACCAAGTCATGACCAGAAGAAATATAAAGCAGAATAATAAAAATCCACCGTAGCCAGCATAACAGCTTTGACAGTAGCAATTCAAGCAATCTATTTTTGTGAGAACGAGTAATTTTTTCTGCACTCCTGAACAACAGAAAGATGAGGCAAGAGTAAAATTTCAGCTTAATAGACAGCAATTCACAATATGGAAAAGAAACAAAGCAGAAAACATTTCCTGAACTGAATTTTCGAAATTGCTGTTTTAACTCAAGCATCCGACCAATCTCAGCAATAGGAAATAACAAGAATGAGCAAATGCAATAGCAGGAACATCTTAACGCCTCGCTAGTGCGACAGGAGAATTTCTCTGCAGTCCCACCTGGGAGAGAGCACACGTCCAAGACCAGGCTGCTACGTTCGTCATAACCTCAGAGCAGAGAGAGGCAAGAAAAGGCCCAGCAGGACTAAGAGCCGCGTTCCTGTGAGGACTCGGACACCTCAGCCCCCGCTCGGGGCTGCAGCACTTGGCCTCCCGAGGTAGCCCGGGGCCAGCAGCCGCCCGGCTGGGGCCACCTGGCTCCCTCCCAGCTCCTCTGGAAGTTGGCTGCAGCACCCCCTGGGCAGCAGCTGCACCCCCACCCCTCCGGCCCGGGCTGCTGGGGGAAGGGGGGCTGGGGGGGTGTCCCGGTGCCCGTTCCCCCGCGGGCGGCGGCCGAAGC